GCCCCAGTTTAGGTCTTCCAGTGGATTTCCCACCAGCTACAGAGTACAAACACTTGCTCTCCGGCTATCCCCATCCCAGATCAAAACAACGTTAAAAAAAAAATCCTACAGACTCCTTTATTAGCTAAAACTGCATATTCTGACATTTCATTCACGTAGTCTCATCAAGTCTGTCTAAGCTTCATTGATTTAACTCTCACAGAGTCTAAAATATGTCCTTTCAAGATGGCAGCCAGAAAAAGCAAGATGCAACAGAAAGGAGAGGAAAATACTAAAGGCACATATTGCTGACACTGCGAGTGAGCACTGGCCTACTTAATGCTAAAACACATAAACTAAACAAGCGAGTTAAGAACTGAAACAGTACAGTTGCTTATTAAGGTAAATACAAAGTATGAACAGGCATAAATCAGGCTCCCGTATCTAAGTAGTGAAAAATACATAGTGTGACCTTTGCATGATTTTCCACCAGAATTCTCCAGTTCTTATTTCATGAGAATTTGTAATAAGCCAGAGGGAGCTCTACATATGATGGCATATCTAAATCAGCCTCCCCCCTCCCCACCTTTTTTTGCTGTTTGTTTCTTGATTTTTGACAAAAAAGAAATAGCCTATCTACCACTTTAATTGAATCCCACGGAACTGTAAAATGGAAAGAGACACCAAATAACTACCTTACTAGCTAGCGCAGGCAGAAATGCATTTTGTTAGAACCATGCCCTGTATAGCTAGTACTGCAGCTTGATTATACTCATGTACTTGGCTGAATCAGTGCCTAATCTTTTCAACTAATTACTGTCTAGTGCCTGCCTGCTTCTAAGTACTTTTCATTTCTTAAAAGACTGTTGTTTACAACCATTTCCTTGTTCATTTTCTGAGAAGAAAAAATAAAGGCTTTATCCTCTGGATTAGGTCTATGCCACATATGCAAAAGAGAAGAGAGATTCTGCTACACTTTATTCAATATGATGTTACAAGAAAACAACAGTTACAGCTGACAAACCATTACATCTTTCATAATACAGACAAATTACAAGGTGTAACAAATAATGTGACATTTATTTTACCGTACTGCTTACTATGCTGTTCTTCTGAAGTATATATATATATTTATATATATTTAATTACATTAACATGGTTTTCATGTACCAGCCCTCCCCTCTTCATTTGTTAAAAAAAGAACACCTCAGTGCACCATACAAAAATCCACTTGGAAGCTGGCAAGCGGGGATTTTGTATGCAGCACCATTGAAATGCATTTTGGGGGGATGGGAGTTATTAGTGCATCCTTTACTTTGAATTTTTTTTTTTCTTTTTTGCTTACATGAAAAATGCAAGGCAGTAACATACAGTCAGTCCACCTAAATGCTGGTAGGGGAGAGTACTGTTATGCTCAGTAATGCAACATAATTCTATTTATATGGGGTGCTGGCATTTTGCTCCCCAGTCTGCAGAGCTTAAATATGTTATATAATAAAGAGTACAAACCCAGTAATAGTCACAGATGAGTATTTTTATATGAGCATACCAGAGCATTGACTACGCATTCAGTTGCATGCCCTTACACAGAGCACATAGGGGTATGTGTCACCCATCAGCCCACAGGGAAGTTATTTTCCTAATTTCCCTCCACAGGGGTCTGAAGCCCAGAACCCTTGCTCACCAAAGAGAAAATGAATCCCCCAGTGCCATTTTCTACTGCAGATTGAAATTTCAGTGTTGCATGGACTGATTTATGGCTTTGTTTAAAACCAATAGTAAAAAATAAAAGGACCCAACTCACGGGGGATATTATGCAGCAACGTGATGTCGGTGCTGTCACAGCATCCTGATGAGTGTGGTGCCTGCTGGGTGGGATGGGAGCTGATCTGGACCCAGCAGGATCAGGGACTAAGCCACCTCCATCTGTCTGACTTGTGGAATTGGGTTCTGTGAACTTCAACTTGTGAGGAATCCCTGTATCACACCCAGCACCACCTCTATCACCATCTTGTCTTCCCCTGCTACCAGCCTACTCAACGCTGAGTGAGCCCCATGGTTTCTTAAGGGCCGTGCCCCAGGGACTGCTGGCCACCTAAAACAACTTGTGACCATTGATCTAATGAAATAAGTCATGGGATGCTGCATTCCCAGCACCCACAGCACATCTGGAAGGCCAGGCCAGGATCTTCTTGTCCCTTTGAAGATCCTGTGTAGAACTGATCTAGGCAGGATGAGAGAAAAAGAGGGGAACACTACTGATCTTTGATGGCACTGTCAGAGGAGCATTGGCAAGGAAAATGTCCATTCAGCAGCACCAAGAAGAGCTATGGAGAAGAATATTGCTTCTCCAAGATGCTGGAGAAGGGCGCTAGCTATTGGGGCCTAACTGATGGGTGTCACACCAGGCAACGAGGCAGGTAAGGGCTCTTCTGGAAGGAGGGGAATAAGGCTGTACAATCCCTGGATGAAGGAACTTCTTCCTTCTCAAAAAAAAAAAAAAAAAAAAAAAAAAAAAAAGCTTCCCAGTAGATTTGATGACACAGAGGAGTATTTTGCAACTGGCACCAGCCCACAAAGGCCAGGCCTGCTCCACGTGGAGAACCCCCATGGGAAAAAGAGCACACTCTAGTCCCATGGGTAACCTCGGTGGCCTCCAAGGAGCTGCATAAATCATTGGGCTCATTTTCAGAGGTCTTGGTCACTCCTTAAATAACTAGTTGCTGAGAGGTAACCCCGCTACCTTTGAAAATGAAGTTACTATTTTGGAATCTTGATATTTATCCCTTTCCTTCAGGCAACTGAGTTTGAAAATTTTTGGAGCAACGTTAATTTTCTCAGTGGTTGCTTAAAAGCGGGAATGGGGCAGAGAAGCTAATCTCACGCGCACGTGTGCCTACACACATATACATACCTTAAGCAAACATTGTACATGATTCACTGTGGCTAGCAAAGTGCTAGGCTTGTGGAAGCAGTTGAGGAATTACTCTCTGTATTAAACCTTCAGATGTTTTGTAGAGCAGCATAATTGCTTGCCTCTGAATTTAAGCTGCCAAAGTAGATGTTTTTTATGAAACTACCCTTATATTCCTAATTGAAATCTTTGTTACATTTTCAAAAATTCTTCAGATTTTTGCAGCAAGTTTTCTTTTCTAAAAATAGCTAATTTTAATCATCAAACTGCACACGATTTAAGTAGCAAAGATAATGTATAAAAGACTTTTCTCTTACAAAAGAAACATGAAACCTAAACAAACCACGTCTAAGGCAGTTTTAGTGTGTGATAAATTCAAAAGTTCAGTGGTTAGGTTTTTCCCCTCATAAACACAAGGGAAAAACTGTACCAAGTTCTAAATAGGATTGTGACTGAAAGTGCCTTTCAGATGGCTTTTACCCGATCCTGAAACAGAGATGTGATTAGGGAAAATTTTGTTTTAATGGCTGTGCAAATACTGAGAATATTTCCATGGTTTAACTACTTGAAAGTGTAGACTCATATCCTAGTTCTTTAAGAGGCCTTTCATAGCTACTTGAGCACTCAAGGATTTGCCTTATTGGGTGTTCTCTTCTTATTAAACACTGCTGAAGTTTAATAAGACGGCAGTAGCGCAAATCCTTTCCCCTCCTTTCAAACACTGAATGCTAACCAAAGTGTTACCACGCTTCTTCAAGATGTAATTCAATGCATCCAGCAAGCAAGAGATGTCAAATTTATGCATAGAATAATATTGCCTAGTAAGTGTTTCTGTCCAGACAGGACTGTAACTCAAGAGGGGTGTCTGCGCCATACCCCATTCTCTCTGAATGCGAAGCACTGTGTGTGATCAGGGCCCTCTTACTACCCCCCTGAACACCGTGTCCTCCCCAACCCAAATTCAGCAGGGACTTTCTGTTTTATTTAAAATCACCTGACTTGGTTGCTTACAAAGCTTGCATTTGAATGACTCATTCAGAAAAGCTCTTTAAAGACACAGTACCTGGTAGTGTCTTCTGAGTGGATAAAGTATCTATGGAAATGACTTGAAAGGTGCTTTGGTGTGGAACAGCAAACAGTTTTGGATACGCAAAATTCTCCATTATGCTTTGAAAGATGCAAAGTAACACAGCTAGATTTAATGGCTCGTTTGATGAAAGTTTTTCTGCACCTTAGTGTCTGCCCTGAATTAAACAGAACTGTCTCACCATCTCTTTGCTTTCTTTTATAAGAAAACATCCCAAAAGGTAAATAGTGTGAGGAAGAACAGAGGGATTAGCCAAGACCCATAAACTAAGGAAATAGTCTTAAAGGCAATAAAAGAATAAAGAATTCATTGTGTACCTGCTAGCTGAGTACATCTCATCATTTTTGCTTTGTCTTTCTCACAGGCCTATTCTGAAAATCGGCATGCTACAAAACCTAAGCAGAGTAACCAAATTCAGAGTTCTGAAGTAAACATGCAATTATTGCCATGTTTTAAGGATGGATATGAGCGGCTTAAAGATATCAGGAAAAATGAAACAACCCAACAGCACTTTAGGAATAGTGGCAAGGTGCTAGAAGTGCCAGCTGATGAGAAACATTGGGCTTGCTCTGGCAGAAATAGTCTTCCTGTTGGTTGCAAAATATGCACAACTTTCAAAGGAAACACACAGTCCTTTATGCCGCTGTTGTCTTTTTTGTACACTCATTACCAAAGAAGTGTGAACACGAAATATGTTGTCTTAATGTATTTAAGACATTGCTGGTGAAAGCATAAAAATCTTTACAAAGATGCAGTGCGGCAGTGGAAAATCAAACAAAATCAAACACAAAAGATTGAAAGAGTACATGCCATGTATCAGTAAGCCAAAGCTTAATCTTCACATAGTTCTCTGAAATCACAAGGTATCCAAATGCGTGCAAGGTTTTAAATAAACTGCAGGGGAAAAAAAATACAGGGTCTTGCCAGCTTCAATTTTCTTCTGAACGAAATCCACCACAGAGAAAGAAAGGAAACAGGCCATGGTTCCTTCCCAGTGTTGGCCTCCTCGTTAGGTTTTTGTTTCCCTCCTCCAAACTGGTAAATTTAATCCTGTAAGGAAACAATATAAATTATAATATACCTCATGACTTGCCTTTTTCAATGATTTTTAAACCTGTTAAAAAATAGGTTAGTCCAAAGCCAGTTACGAAGATACCAACTCAGAGCAAAGGACAGACATCCAAAGCATGTTTGCTGGCACAGCTCAAGAAATTCACAAGCTCTTCTTGCCCCTTTTCTCAAGGAGTCCTTGAGAAAGGACTTGGGACTAGTTTAAGAACAGTTTTCCTTAGCTTTGCTCTCGAGGAACTATTTAAGGGTACCTTGGAATTAGTCACAAATACTTCTGCAAATGCAATCTGACTATGGAGCTCTAGGATACACTGCATTCACTGCATTTAAAAGCATTCTTTTTTTTTTCCTATTAATATACAGAAATAAAGCAACTCTCCTTTAACATGTAAGTTTCGTAATTAATGTTCTTAAATAAATGTCCAAGTAGATTGCTAGGCAAAACAATAATATGGTGCTCATCAGTTTCTTGGGCCTTCTTGCATCTTGGTCTGCTACCTCTTGGCTCCTGCTTGGGTTGTCTCTTAATCATGTTTGGGTTTTGTGTGGAATGTCTATCCCCACATGACAGTCCCACTTTCCTCTGGGTCTTGGAGTTTGGCTGAAGCCCCAGTAAATCTTGTTTCAGGGAATGCATCAGAGCTGACCCATTTAGTTTACCCTTCCATAAATTTAAAAGCAAAAAGAGAGCTACACACAGAAATTATCAAATGTGTAAGTGGTGAAACATTGCTGACAATATTTGCCTCATTCCCCTGCCTTAAACCAAACATTTTGCAGAGGTGACCCTGTCAGTGGTCAGCCCCTTCCTCCTAAAGAAATAATTAAAGTCCCCAAGCTGCTTTCTTCAGTGTTGAGCTTGTGTGTTGCCACCCTGCACTACAGCTGTGGAGGCCACAGCTGCCTAGCCCCAGTGACAATTTTACATTTTCTGCCTCCACTTTTGGTGCTGCAGGCAAAGCTGTTCAGCTCTTCTCCAGGGCAGAGGCTGAGCCTATGAGATGATGAGTATCTTAATGAGAAGTTAGATGTTTTCAGAATCAAGCTTCCTTAGAAATGAAATGGGCAGTTGCCATCATATAACAAGGAGGAAAAGATCTTAGCATATTGGCAACCACTGGCAGAGTCAACACAGGCCAACAGCAGAACACAGCAGGCCAGGAAAGTGGAGAGCAAGGCCATACGTTTGCTCTGAAGGTTGCCAGACTCCCTGATGAAGCCCGGGGTGTTCACTGCTCTGGCTCAGGACAGGGCAGCTGTCAATTCTGTCATCCCAGCTCAGCCTTGAGCTCAACCTGTGTCACTGCTGCCGCTGGGGCCGCGGGTTCCTGGTGGATCTGACCACCGGGACGGCGAGCCGGGGAGCGCCGCTCTCACCACCTGAGCTGTGGCACGTTGCACATGGGAAGTTTTAGACTAGAGCAGTCTGGTTCCCAAGTGGTGCAGCACTCACATTGGCTGCATTTTATAGATACATTTTAGAAATATTCTTGTTTGGAATTTAATACATTTTCCCAATGTATGAATCAAAGTTTTGCTTGGTGACTTGCCAGATTATGGCCTCTGGTCACAGCTTTGCTTCTAAAAGTGTAACTTGTTAAATGGAATATTTACAAGTGGTGATTTCCCAAGAGCAAAACAGGATTATTTCAGATCTCCTAATAAATAAATAAATTAATTAAGAAAAAGAAATATAACCGAGTGCCTTAAAAATGAACTTGTATTTTTTCACCTCAGGTCCCATTAGTTTTGATTTTGATGATGTCTCTAATAAAACTAAGAGAAGATTATACACAAGGCAATGTTGTGCTTGAAATATCAAGTTATCAAACCAACTCAACTGTATGTTCGCTATCTAGAGAACTCATCAGGTACATGCATCCTTGTTTGTCACAGACCCCAAACAGGATAAAGTAAAGTACTGATCCACATTAAAAATAGGTAAACTTACCATGAGGTAACAGCGATTCTAGTGAAGGGTACTAAAGACTGTAATTGAAATACTAATCCTGCTCTCAAGACATGAGGCGGAAAAGGATGACTAAAAGGTCCTGACATCCCAAATATTTTTCTTTATTTTTAATTAATAAAAAGAATCTCCTTTCCTTTAAAAAATGTAAATTACCAATTCATTGCTCCTTTTGGCAGCATCAGCATCCTACGCTAGGTGCTTTTAATTTTTGTATAAATTATAAAATAGGGCAGAGCTCTGCTCCCGCAGCGTCCTTGGCATGCAAAGCACATTCAGAATGCAGGTCTATTTATGTTGCAGCTGATTTAGCATTATTATAAGAGTGTTCATTCTATGACACCAGATTTTAAATAAAAATGTGAGCTGACAACCAGGGGTACTGTATTCTCTATGAGATGAAACATAAGAATATTTAAAATCGTCAACCATATATTCTTTCTCCTCTCTGCACTAGATGTGCAGACACCACATAGATACTGTTCATTTTCTCTAAAAAAGTATAATATTAACAGGTGATTTTTTTCCCCACACCTTTTCTTCCTGTCTTTTTCAGAAAAGTCACTTTAAGAAGGCAACCAAGCATTATCAATACTATTTGTACTCTGATGCTATCTACATACAACTCGCTGCTATAAATATTAATTAATTGGTTCAGCAATACCCATAATGCAACTTTATTTTGACCTACATGCCCTATGAACTAGATATTTTTTGGATTCCGTTTTCTTAAAACCAACTGTCAGCATCATGTGATGGAAGAGATGAAAAATGAAAATGAGCGTTCCCGCTGTGCAGGTGAGTGACCTGTGGGAGACAGCTCTGCCTGCCAGGATTTTCACACGTACCATCAGACACAGACCAATTGATTAGATCATCTTATACCCGCCACCAACTAGGCTCAAGAGACTAATTAGAGAGAGTACTGCCTGCGCAGGCACCCCATTGACACCTAATTTGCTCAGCCAAAGCCTTTGGGGAGAATGTATTATCTCTGCAGCTGCACTTCATGCATTTCTGATTTGAGGCATAAGCAAGGAGTACTTCTTCACAGTTTTGAGCAAACTGAGTATATAAGCCCTTAAGTGCTAAATACAAGGAGACAAATTAAATCTGGCCAGCCTCCCATAAATTCATAAATTCCCACTTTCAAATGTATATATGTATATGCACACACACACACCTTATTTTATATCTGTGTCTACAGTGCCTGTGCACAAACGCGAACATACATGTATGCATGTGGCTGAATGTGTGTGGAATGCCTGGGAACACACAAAGTCATTTTCCAAAAAAGAGTGCTTTAAAATGCGGAATTGTTACAGAGTACAAAGTGCTTTCTTTTTCAAGGATTTTTTTCCCTTAAGATATAAAAGAATTGCGGTTGTTCTCATGTATGAAAAATAAATGATCTGCACTATTGTTAGCTCAAGCTCCGTATTATTCCATGGCCAAGGCTCAGTAGAGGGCTGCCTGTTAAGTTTCTCTACATATTTTCAGAGGTTTTAGCTCAAAGATGGAGTGATCATTGCAGTATACAGCCTGCCTCAGCTGAAAGCAATTCTTTTATGGACTATACCTGATTTGGGCTTTCCTGAGGAAGACTGTTCACTAGGCTATATGCAATTTTACTAAAATTGCTTTCTGCTGGGCTTCAGTTTGACTTAGTTACCCATGCCCCAAAATACACAAGGGAGGCAGGACTGAAGGCTGTGATTAAAATTTTATTAATATATATATATATTTGACACTAGAAAAACTATATTTTTTTTCCAAATTGAGAGGGCTTTGAGAAAAACATTTTTAGGATAGACTTTTAAAAGATTCCTGAACTCAAGTACTTTGTAGCACAGAAAAATAGTGAATTTGCCTCACTTCTGAAATAAGACTGAAACAAAATATCTTCTTCCCTGTGATGTGCCTATACATCAACTTTAAGGAGTTTATTAAAATTGAATTATTAAATCAATTTAACGTCACCTTGCACAAGAGTCTGTATTTTCACGGTCAGTTTAGAGTGTTAACTCAGCATTTTGCACTGCCATAACTAACTACTATGTATTTTAAAAGCTGTAACTAAATGGGTGCAAGGTACCTGCACCTCCTCCTCCTCACCTTCTTCCCCATTTCCAATTTCCAAAAGGCCACATCTTTTCCAATTCAGTTTAGACTTCTTTAGCAAAAGTTTATTTAATTTAATGTTTAAATGAAAACACAGAATTAGCTCGGTAACTGTTGCCTGTTACTTATGCATAGAATGTGATGCATTTATTAAAATGTGGCATATTTCAATAATAACAACTATTGGTCATAAAAGACAAATAAGAAACAAAACATTTACTGATTATTTTTTCCTGCTCTATTCTGCTGTGCTTTAGTAACTGGGTTTATATTCTTATCCACACTGGACCTCCCAGACTCTATCTTTAATGATGAATATTGCTGTATATTCTTCTCCATGGATCTAACACATGACTCATAATACAGATTATATACAAGCTCATTTCTGTTTGATTATATATACTGTTTTTGGAATTCTTCTTCCTGCAAAGACTTTTTGGCAGGAGGGACTTGGCCTCTGCGCAGAGCCCCTGCCTTGCAGCAGAGCAGCCTGCACACAGGGAGCTGCAGGGTCATGGGCTGCGTTTGGGGTGGGCAGGGGACATCACTGACCCTAAGTGAAGCTAGACAAGGACTGTAAACGAGTCAGGAAATAAATCACAGTAACACAAGCTTATGAATGAAGCAATTTTATGAGTGCACGTACACTAAAGGAAATTAGGAATCCCTATAAAAGGCCGGCGACAGAGTGGATATGGGCCTGGCAATCACAATCCCGCGGTTTTGTCACTGCTACTGAATCTTACCTTGAATGTTACCATGTCACCTTGTCCCTTTGCTAGCTCTCCCTAGTCCGGGTTACATTTCAGCTGGGGAGTTTGGACTGCCCAGCAAAACGAGCGCCAAATTTTAGCTTTTAGCTGGAGCCCGCAACAGTTCAAAGCACATA